TCAAGCTATTGACGTTCTGATGACCGTCCAAACCAGGTAGGTTGTTATCATCTATTTTTCCACTGGTTGTTAGTGTTCATCATTTTTCTTAATCTCAGGACGTTCGAGTTTCAAGCCGACCGTTTCTCAGTTGATGATGGTCGTAGTGGTGACTTGAAAACAGCCCTGACCAAACTGCAGAAGGACAATCTTGGGGATATGGATCCTGACAGACTGTAAGTGCTCGCCTCGAAGTGGGAATATATTTCTGGTTTCCTCAACTGAGCTCGTCAGTTTTATAGAAATACATATACGATTTTGGGGGAAAAGTGTAGAAAATTTCTACTAGAAATCCTTCTCAGAAAATTTCCATATTTTTACCAAAACATGCAGCTGACCATGTGCATATATTCTCACAGTGTTGCAATAAATGTTGGCCTTCCTCGGCTGAGTCCAGGAATCTCCTTAGAGTTTGCATATGAATTCAGGCGTAAGGGTATAGAAAACAATGATAATTTCCTCAATTTTCCTCGGAATTTCCACAGATGTCCCCTACACATGTAGTTGAGCATGTGCATATATTCTCACACCGGCTCCCCTACCACTCCTTGCCGTATTCTCGATGATGAATATCTACACTACTCGCTCTCACCTTTTTTCATGTATGTAGATATGCATGGGTGAAGTACACTCATCCAGCTATTGTAGAGCGTCTGAGAGGCATTGAAGATGCACAAGCTCTGTATGAGAAAAGAGGAGGCAAGCCCGCAGCTATATTCGAGACTTCTAAAGACAAGGAAGATGGAGTACGTTCCTCAGATCACGACAAGTTGAATATGCGCTATTCCTACCCTCTAGGTATTAGTGGAGAAGGAGGACGTGCCTGCTGATGCTGGTTTGAGGGAGCGCAAGTAGACGTGACTGTCGAGTTATGCCTCTAGACTTGGTAGTCTTGGTCATTGTTGTTATTGTTGGGTTGTCAGTCACTCGGGAGGGAGGGAATGTGTAACAGTAGTGCTCAGCAGTTGAAGCTGCTGGTTTCCATGCGTGTTGATACTCATGTCGTATGACGTCAATACGGTGAAGTCTACAGTGTTTGAGAAACTGTCAAAGTTGGACAACGAGAGTAGCAGTAGACTGTTGCTGAAAGGCTCCCTTCCCAGCCGGAGTAGTGTGTTCGACGTTGATGCATGCCTTGAGAAAGCGAAGAAGTAACCCATGACTCTGTCGTTGCTATTCATGGACCTCCATTATCATCAGGTGTGAGCTCCTGTCAGCTCCACAAATACGAGTACTGTGTGCGCGACTGAAGGACATTCTAGTGGAAGAGTCCAACGTCCTTCAACTACAGCCACCTGTTACTGTTGCTGGTGATGTTCATGGGTATGCATATCCACGTTGAAGATGACTAACTCATTGGGCAATCTCAGGCAGTTCCATGACGTTATCGAGCTGCTGGCTGTAGGCGGCCCTGTCCCTGATGTGAACTACCTTTTTTTGGTAAGTCGTTTTCGCACTCACCAGCGGGTTCTCATTTCGTTCAATCCACTACCTGCTCTCATCGTCCTCAGCCTTATTACCATCATTATCATGAACTGTGTCATATAGTGTGTATTCGATGTAGGGAGAAATATACACATGGCCAACTACATCTGTTGGTGGTGACAATACGAAAAATCTGAGAGGAAATTTTGGAAAATTCTTCCTGAGCCTTATTGCCCCCCCCCCCCCCCGAATACGTATTTAAACCTCTATTATCAGTGAAAAAAACTTCAGCTGGACTGAGGAAAGCGAACAGATATATTTCGACATTGTGTGTATTACACATCATTCGAGTTTACCATTGCTCTCAGGGGGACTATGTCGATCGAGGATCTCTGAGTGTAGAGACTATAACTCTACTATGTTGTCTTAAATTGCGCTATCCCGACCGTGTCAGCCTTCTACGTGGCAACCATGAGTCCCGACAGATCACTCAGGTGAAGTACACGTTATAATCACTCCTTGGTTATTCATCCCCTTTTTTCGAAGGTCTATGGTTTTTATGCTGAGTGCTCTCTGAAGTACAATGACGACCTGAGTGTATGGAGATCTTTCACTGACATGTTTGACTACCTTCCAGTCGCCGCTGTGGTGGGCGGGCGAACTCTAGCGGTAGACATTCCTAATCTGCCGAGAAGTTGGTATTGTCTCTTATCTAGGTTCACGGCGGGCTCTCGCCATCAGTGCACACGTTGGACCAACTACGTCTGCTTTATCGGTTTGCTGAGATTCCCCATGAAGGCCCCCTTGCCGATATCGTCTGGTGAGGTGCTTCCCTATTCTTGAGAAAGTTCTACTCTCGCTCAGGTCTGACCCGGACGGCTCCAGCATGCACGTACAGAGTAACAGCGCCGAGCCTGTTGTGGTTGAGGTGAGGCAAGTTCGATGACTTGAGTATAATGGACCTCAATTTCAGGAACCCAATTCATCGGTCCGCGACTACAAGGAGTTACCCTCTGGTTCCGGCTTTACAGTGTCCCCTAGAGGAGCAGGGTGAGACGGCGGCCGCCTGTTATCCTCTGTATCTATCCTAGGTATGTTTTCGGCCATGATGTCACGGTTAAATTCCTACACATGAATGGCTTAGATCATATGGTCCGAGCCCATCAACTCTGCATGCATGTAAGTTTAACAGCAACCCTTGAGGGTCTTAAATGCGGTGGAGCTCAGGGTTACCAAGTGCTCTTCCCTGATCGGTGTGTATCAACTGTTTGGTCGGCGCCAAACTATTGCTTTCGATTCGGCAACACGGCTAGTGTGATGGAAATCTGCGAGAATGGCACTCGCAGATTTAATATTTTCGGCCCGGTGAGACGTCCACCTGCACTCTACTGTACATCATACGCTTAGCTAGGCGCCGGAAAGTTCTCGAGGGGAAACGGAGTCAGAGACCGTTCTTGATTCCATCGCTGCCGACCTCGGTTGCCTCGATGTGGGGGCGGAAGCCTGTGTTAAAACGATAGCGGGATACTCTGAAGATGATGATGGCAATCCCCTACAGGTGAGCTCTCTAGGCGAGTGGTTCCTTGATGAATATGTTCAGTCACCATTGGGAGCAACACGCGTCACCGAGGAGTACTTCTTCTGAACTCTGCTCATACCGTCTCTAAGTACCGTATTCGTGTTACATTCGTGATATTCTCGAAAGCTCATCTTGCGTTAGTCACATCCCTAGCGAGCCGGTGGACGCTCTCGCTGTGTTGTCAAATACCTTTGACAACCACAAGAATTGGTGACACCAACAAGATCACTCAGTTGTCCTCCGATACATTTGACAATCTCCCTAATTGGAGCCCTAATTTCGCTGGACTGCGGCATTCGCTTAATGCTTGATTACTCAAGCCTGAACCCCTTTATTGAGTAACAACTATGACGCTCTAGCTAAAAATCATACAAAAAGTTTACGACTATCGAACGATCAGTTTATCAACTTTCACATTATGTATTTCACACTGTACACGGGTAGATTGCAGCGGTATTATTTCGTGTGATACCAAAAGCCACAATGCTTTCATTACTGTCTTGCAGCAAGACTCTTGCGTCACGCCTCGACTCCACTACCTCGCCATTGGCAGTGAACTCTTAAACTCAAGACCATGAATCAATAAAAATACTTCTCAACCTTGTCCCCATAGAGCACAGTAGTGATATGTATGCTCTACACACTTCGACTACTCGCAATCGAGAAATCTCGAGACTAGCGAACAAGTAAAGTAGCTACAAGAACCATCCAAATGAACAAATGTCCAAGATGAGACAAGAAAGTACACACGATATATACCACCATCTTGGCGGGCTGTACTCTATAGCAAAAATATACATTGGCTTTGACAGCTAATCAGCATCGGCATCAGCTAGCAACCGATGGTGCCGCTATGTCCTTCTTCACTTGGACCCACTTCTTAGCACTAGAAGCAGTATTTCGCTGACCAACCGACCCTTTCCGTCGGTCGGGCCAGCCGGCACCCGCTGAGTTCGTAGAATCAGAGGATCCACTTCCTCTACTTCGCCCTTTACCACCACCACCCTTGCCTTTCCCTTTACCTTTACCTGAGAAGAATTCATACCCATCCTAATGCGGTGATGTCGCTTACCTTTGCCCTTTCCTCTTCGCTGATAATCGGGTACATCATTTAGCCGATAAAACTCGTCACCGAGCTCTCTAGACTCCTTAGCCATATCTTCAAACACGTCGTGATACTGTAGATGACTGTCAAGCAACAACTTGGCGTCATCCAGATCCTGTCTCCTCCCACAGAGGACTAGACAGGGAGAATGCGATGTGTCTTCCAGCCTTGCATAGTTTAGGTTAGCAGAGTCTGCGATCTCATGCAGAGTTGCAAACCGACGGCCAATAACCCAACCAATGCAGTCTTGTGGTATCGGATACCTACAACAGTCGGTCAAACGGCGTCGGAGACAAGAAAATAAACAGGTGCTGTCCTTGTTATCACCTCTCAACGAGGTACTCGAGTTCGGCTCTAGCCTTATTAACAGCTTCTACTGATGGACCGTATATGACCACCCTCCTCGATTGAGGATCTCTAGCAGTGCCCTTGTCAGCTACATTCACCTCCACGCCATAGTCTTTGATAACCCGACTGATGTGAGCCCCGTTCTTGCCAATCATAACGCCGACCAAATCTGCATCGATATTGAAAGTAGTCGACTCCTGGCTTTCCAACTTCTCACGACGAGATGACAGTGCCTGAAGTACTCCACATCATCACAGCCATCGTGGCGAAGGCTGCTAATACGTCGAGCATCGCTTGCCGCTTCTCGTGGAAGCTCTGGATGTCCTTCTGGTGCTTCACGTGAACATCGAGTAGTAGCTTAGCGCGGTGAAGGTCACGCTGACTTCCCACTAGAGTAACCGAAGGACCACTCTTTGGATCGGCTCGAGGCGTTACCTGATCAAGGAGCAACTCGATCCCATACCACAAATCCGCCACATCATGAGTCACCTTAAGAAGGCCGGACTTGATCGCTACTTGATTGAGGCAGCCTTGACCATCATCACTCATTATCCAATCGGCGAGGACCCTCGGGACCTGGACAGTCTCTGAACTTAAGTCCGTCAAGTTCGTAGGACCTATTAATATCTACTATCACAACCTTAAACGCTGAATGACCCCATCTTACTAAAACTCCCACCAGAGTCACTTCCGTCCATATGATGCCCGACGGGCCGACGAAGGTTCCCTCGCTCCACGATAATAGGCTCATGTAAGTCGGTGTTTTTGACATAGAAAAATTCATCAGCTCGAATGCTGACGATCTCGCCACTCCACCAACTAGCGGGAGCATGTGCCGTAGCCGGGGATCGAACCTGGGACCATTCGATTACCCCATACAGGATGCTACTCGTCCTACCTCGACTGTATCCCCCACCTCAGGCCTGTAGTCATATGCATTGCTGAGCGCCTTGCTGGTCAAGGGAGGCACTAATCGTGCCTAAAAGTCATCCTTCCATATTTCATTGATGCGTTCCGAATCCTTACCTCTGACATTGGCACTGTCTTTGGAGCCCATATGTCATCTTGGAAAGCAACTGTGATCTAAGAATGGAGACCTACGAGCGCCCCCAGCAGAAACTATACTCACCATTTTCCTAGCCACGTCTACGTCTCCTAAATACCCTTCAAACCTGATACCACACCTTGGGGAACTTCTACTACTGATGCATTACAGTACCATTTCTGTGGCGCACTTTGATCCTTGATTTCAACGAGGGGAGAATAGCGATGAACACTATCTCGATCAAGGCCCGACAGTGTAGACGGGGTGCTACACTCCACAGCCATTGTTAAGTATTAATATCAAAACAAGATGATCAGATGATGACAGTAATAACACAAAACCCAAACGCCCTACATATTCAATTCAATCGCGGACCCAATCAGGCAGGGCCAGCAGTAGAGATGCCACGCCTCGTCATACCGCGCCATATCGCAACGCAAGCTAGCGTTGAACATTGGTCGTGCGACGACGATCCGACGGTGCATGCACATCTTGCGCACTTGCATAACCTTGCATTTCCTCAACGGCCCGATGTTTCGTGCTTGAAACTATCTCGAAGTCATGCGGGGTGTTCAGAGAATTCCGCCGGAATGCGTTCCAGAAAGTATTCTTAGAATCGATTCTCAGAATCGATTCCTGGATTGTGTTCAGAGGATTCCATTCCCAAATATTCCGGAATGTATTCTGGAATCGATTCCGAAACGCGTTCAACGAATCCCGCTCTCAGAATGAGTTCTCAGAATCTATTCTGGAATGAAAACCTTAATTTTTCGTAACTTGTAACTCTTCGCTCCGCCCACAAACTGAACTTCCTTCGCCCGCAAGCGAAGGCGGAACTTAGTGACTTCAGGCAAGCTGAGCAAGGAAGATGAAGTGATCAAGATTAAGTTGATTAACATATATTTTACATTGCGTATTCGTTATACTAATGTCATCGAGGCTTGAGTACAAGTCCGCTCGAGGAAAATCATGGGACTTTGTACAAAACGAGTTCCATGACTTGTGCGAATCTGTTGATTTGTTGTCGAACGTGGTAGCCTTCCGCGCGCCACAAAATTCTCGGAAAGGAATTTTCGCATTCTGAGATTTCGCTTTCTGGAACGTGTTTCAGAATGCATTCTAAAGTTTTCTGAACACGTTCGGAATCTATTCTGGAACGCATTCCAGAATGTGTTTGGGGGGCTGTTCTCTGAACGCGATTTTGGTGTTTTGCATTCTGGAATGCGTTCTGAGTTTCGGAATGGGTTCTCTGAACACCCCGATGGTTTCAATGACGACTGCGATGCCGCAAGTTCGCGGAGCTGACTTTCCCACACCTTCTAGCGCTCCTAGCCTGGCCTCATCTTGTGAGAAGCTCCAGAGAGATGAAATACATAAACCAACTTCATATTGTGGTACAATTTAGTTCCAATTTTGAATTCATATCTACATATGTGATGTAGAGTAAAATGTACGAGTACAGTAACGCGAGTGGTGACACTGACTCAATCGTCCCCGAACTGGTCATCAAAAACATCGAAACTGATTATCGACATGCCCTGTGCATTGACACTAGTAACGCCGCGCCTCTTCGGAATCCCCGATGGAGCTCAACGATGATAATAGTGAGGATTAGCCTCTAGCCTCGACGTTATTATCTACGGACTCCTCACAAGGCACGTCGGGGAGGTGCTCTTCACAGCAATCTCTGAGCAAGGTCAATGATAAACCTCGATTACTGTCGGCTACTTATTCTTCTTGCTTGACGCGTCTCTGAGGTGCGTCTTTACCACCCAAAGTCGATGGTTCTGAAGCACAACGCCAATACGCGGGCTGACCAATCCTTCCTATGCTCGCCTGTGACGTCATTATGTTCGCGTGTGTTGTTAGTTTCCTCGGCATTTTCATCATCATCCCAACTAGGCAACGGTGGCAATGTCGATACGAGCCCATCAACAACCTGAGCTCCTCCTTAACCGAATCAGAAGTAACAATAAAGCGACCTGTGAAGGAACGACTGAGTTCCTAGCAGAGAGTGAGAGGTCATCTGCTGCTTCCTGGATCGCCTCCACCGAAGCGTTGCTGACCTTCAGCTGAGCCTGGCAATAGTCACAATGAGAAATAAATTCCACACCGAGACGAAATACTTGCAACTCTTGAAGTATTGTCAGCAACTTAGCGGAGTATTCTATCAATTGGCCGTTGCGCTTCGTTAGTCGATTGCGGCTCCAACACGCTCGCTTGCGTATCTTCTCCGCATCCAATCTCCTTTGCAGCACCGCACAGCGAAGATTATCTATAGTCTTCACAAGAAGAACAATACCTCAGCAGCAGCGAGCATTAACCAGGAGGACCATACACGTTGCATTTGCGATATCTGCTTTGCTCGATCCTGCAGAGTCGCATCCATCGCTTTATTCTGTTCGACTGTCTGCTCTCGACGAACGGACAAATCTCGCACTTTGGCCTGTAACCTATACCACGCCACCGACAAATCATTCGTCGATTCCTCACAGTCTACCTGCCAGCCTCGGCTCTATACCTCTCCCTAGAGGCCAACACTGTATCGAAATCACTAGCAGTAGGTGTCTGTTCAGATCCTCTCGGGCTGATCATAGGCACGAGAACTCACGAAGCGCAGCATAAGGCATGCCATAAGGCGACGGAGGGGCGAGATCTTAGAGGTTACTTACATTCCTTCTACTATCCGTGGGGACCTATCCCGGACCTCTAATTCCGGCTCCGCGTTTGGTGTTGTTTCCTGAGTAAAGCCACTCTCAACCATCCATCCCACTAACGTGGGGCCTAACCTCAGCTTCAACTGCTGCATTGACATCCCTATTGAACTGCAGTGAAATCACAGGCCTAGTGGCGGCCATTTCTCCCTCTTCTTCTGATCGGCCCTCTGAATAGTCGACACCCTCATCGTCAGCTTCAGCTAGTAAACGTCGTCTTTCCCGTGCCATACAGGAGGTGCATGGCCGTTCGCTCCGGGTGGCTACTATTCTAGCGCATCGGGGACACTTCTTCACTATACGTTTCTTCTTAGGAGCCATTGATAGTCGAAGACATTGTGAACGAAACTCGAGAGCTCACAGTTGGCCCGTTGGTGCTCACATAATTTATATAAAGGCAACAGTTGAGATCAGTACTCTTATACAACAACACGAGAGGATGAAATCAGCGGATAACAACATCAACAAAATATCAATCGCGGAGTACTAACTTGTTGATTCGAGCCTTCAAGACCTCCAATGCTGTCGCCTTTATAGCAAACGCAATGCAACAGTCGGTCAGAAAATAGAAGATCACTATGATCATCACTACACACAGTGGCTGCCGTAATAGTCCTCCTAGGAGGCAGTGTATGAACTTGTTAACTCGAGCCTTCAAAACCTCCCATACTGTCGCCCTTATAGCGAACGCAATGCAACAGTCTGTCAGAAAATAGAGAAATCATCATTTTCACGCACTAAAGCCGCCGTGATAGTCTTCAGTTCTTCCTCGCAATCGTGTACATTGACAAACCATTGACCTTCGCTCTTCCTAGTGATGTCCTCATACGTTCGCTTCCTAGGCTCAATGACTCTCCCAGAAGTACTAAGACCGTGATAGACCCCATCTCCACATAGACTGGCCAATGCTGTACACCAATACATAGCTAACGACGACTCGAACATACTAGATAGGCAGCAACGATGAGGATAAGACGCCACGTACTGGCATGCACGACGCCAACCGATCACCCCTGGCTTCAACACGAAGTAAACATCAGTTCTCTCACAAGCCGGAAAGCTCTTTGCAGTGGCGAGGCTCTCGTCCATAGCAGTAGGGATGCCTAGTCGAATCAAGTCGTCATTCCATGTGACAGTGGGTTCCTCTATATACTCTATCTTAGCCTTGGTACTCTCACTCAGTGAAGTGGCGAAAGTGTGGTATTCATCCGGTGTCCAGGACTGATTAGCGTCCAACCTTAGCCGAGCGGTCCCGACCAACCCCGAGGCGGCAGAGTTGACTTTTTCAGCGTCTCGTATTGGATTTTCTCCGACTTTCAATTTCACGCAACCTCTCAGCTGAGCACCGCCTTGGTTTTCCTCGCGAGTGTACATCTGATTGATTTTCACGACTTGTGAAATTTCCCTTCCGTTTGCCCCACCATACCACGACAGCACTTCAGCAGGTCTTTTTCCTATACACTCGCATACACATCCAAGCAACGCCATCTCCACCGCCCCCTGCAAGCTGATATCACCCGATGATGCAATCCTCGAGGCCTCATAAACAGCATCAGCTGTGAGGTCAATAGACCGCGGTATGGGGATAGGCTCCATGACTGGTTCGAAGCAGCGGTCAGGATGAAACAGAGGAAGAGGGCAAGCCTCGCCAACGCCACAGCAAGGGGTTGGTGACGACGACCCATCAGCCGGGTAGAACCTGAGCAATGCACATTGAGGAAAAGTCGCCAATAGATGGAAATTCCTCAGGCACTACATACAGTGGAGTTTCACCCGTGATGTGAAAAAAGCACTATTGAGAAATATATTTCACAACTACTGTATAGCGCGAATATCGGGTATTTCATAGAGTATTACGCCACTCCACATGAAACGGGTGAAACTCTGCTGTATATTTCGTCTGAGAGTTTTCCACAACCCTTAGGCTGGACCACGAGCTGCCATATATTTCTAAGATCCGATCGGTGAACTTACTGAGAGTGTATAACAACATAGACACCATTTCGGTCCGTGATGTCAACACGACTACTCCATCTACATAACGGCAATGGGCTCTTCAGTTTTAGGGTAAATTTCTTCAACACGACCGATTCCACTTCAAGACGACCCGGGGGGAACATCATGAAATTTGGGAAAGCTGTAAACCATGTGTGATTCACTCGTCAGAGAACACAAATAACCGCTTGAAATCTAAAGCACATGTTCAAAAGTATCGTAGACTTTTCGACGAGATAAAATTTCACAGAAATTCCCCGCAAAAAATTGTCGGTTTTTTCATATAATTTCGGCCACTCCCGAGTGAATGGCGGAAAAGGATTAAACTCGAAAGTCAAACAGACCGATCAAACAGCAAACATAATAGCCTACGAGAAGAACCAATAGCCATCGCCTGCAGCTAGAAACTCGTATAATAACATATACACAAACTTGATGGGAAATGAATGCTTGTAAGCTGCCGACTGCCCGTCTTCTCCTTCTCAAGCCTATCCAAGTTAGAAACAGATTGATCACCCCTACTACTACTACTACAACTACTACTACTACTACTACTACTACTACTACTACTACTACTACTACTACTACTACTACTACTGCTACTACTACTACAACTACTACTACTACTACTACAACTACTACTACTACTACTACTACTACTACTACTACTACTACTACTACTACTACTACTGCTGCTACTACTACTACTACTACTACTACTACTACTACTACTACTACTACTACTACTACTACTACTACAACTACTACTACTACTACTACTACTACTACTACTACTACTACTCCTACTACTACTACTACTACTACTACTACTACTACTACTACTACTACTACTATTTCTACTACTACTACTACTACTACTACTACTACTACTACTATTTCTACTACCAGTACTACTACTACTACTACTACTACTACTACTACTACTACTACTACTACTACTACTCCTACTACTACTACTACTACTACTACTACTACTACTACTACTACTACTACTACTACTACTACTATTTCTACTACCAGTACTACTACTACTACTACTACTACTACTACTACTACTACTACTACTACTACTATTACTACTACTACTACTACTACTACTACTACTACTACTACTACTACTACTACTACTACTACTACTACTACTACTACTACTACTACTACTACTACTACTACTACTACTACTACTACTACTACTACTACTACTACTACTACTACTACTACAAGTAGTAGCTCACACATGGCTTCAATTCTCATAATGTGGGTACCAATCCAATACAGCATTTCCAGATCATATTAGTTTTGACTTGGAAACGCAGTACTTCCTCACTGCTCCCTATACTACCCTCCCACAGAGTGATAATTCCCTTCGCCAGAACAGACAGCCCCACCAGCAGGCACCCTAAGCCGCAATGCGCTCCTCCATCACTTAGCACTTTCAACTGTGTTATACTTCTTCAACTAGTATCGCGACGTTTTAACTATCTCATAGTTGTCATTAGATCATCTCAACTATTGTTGACTTCCACGGATTGTATGAGGCTATTACCATAATATTGGTACTTCAGGAGCCGACTTTCTACCCTACAGATAGCAACAGCTTCCACACACGACCATTATAGTGCCCTCGATGAGCAGTCTTGGAGGAATATATGTTTGCTTTCCTCACCCGAGCTCAGGAGTTTCCAAATCTTATTTTCACAACAATAAGAATCTTCCGAAATTTCCCCCACTATCACCAGCATACGCAGTTGACCATATACATGAACCAGAGCAGAGGAACGATTTACAACGGGGAAATAAATCACTGTCGTATGAGTTGAACGAAATTCCTTCATTTCAACTCAGCCGTTTTACAGGAATACGTCTAATACCGTTCCGTGAGGTATTCACGATACTAAAGGCATCAGCCTCGTGCGTGGTTCCGTAGTCATTATTAAACTAATAACCAAATATTTATACGGCAGTTATGGAAGCTGGTACGTAGTAGTGATAGTGGTAGACGCTCAGTTATTTTTGTGGCGCGGTGACGTTGTTGCTGCTGCCGTGATCGTCCTAGGGCTCCAGCCAGGGATGTCCAAATGCCTATCACAAGCATAGCACCTCACCACCACCGCACCGCCTACTTCCTCTCAAAGAAACCATCTTGAGTACGGCCAGCAGCAGCTGCTGATGCTTCAGCTAGGCTCGATCTTGATACTGAGTCCAGCCCTTGGAGTAAAGCCGTGGCCTTGGTGCCAGCTAGGGAATCCTAAATGGTAAAGTGAGAGACAATATACCTATACTCACCCACGCATGTTGATGACTATGCCTTTATAATGGAGTTTCGCCCACTCGGTGGGAAACCCTATATTCTCAGTACGCAGTAGTGTTTTTCATATCACTAGGGTGAAACTCCAAAAATTCATTCAATGGAGTTTCACCGGTGAACACTAGTGAAAAACACATTTCACGACTATTGCAGGGCGCAGATATCGCGTTTTTCACGGAGTTTTACGCCACTTCACGTAGAACGGGTGAAACTTCAATGAAAACTCAGCAACATAATGATATTGCCAACCCCATACCATAAATATAATATAATAAATTAGCGATTGACCATCAATGGTTGCGAAAATTCTTAAAACTTCCATATTAGTTTCATAAGCATCTACCACCCCCCGGCTGAAAAGGAGGTGCCGCGCTCAACTGAGGAGACCTAACTAACAAGGTGCCCAAAATAGAATGCGCTATTGTCGAGCTTGATCAGAATTCAACAAGATATGAAGATCTTGGCGAGCACTTTTAAATGGTATCAATTCTAAATTTCGGGCACCCTATAGTTCGAAAATCAATACTACCTTTTCAATGCTCCTGATGCGCATTTCCATAGCCGTAAATGCCTCAAGAAGAGCCTTCCTTCCCTCTTCGGAGCCCTCCAGGCACATATCCAAGAACTTAGCATCCAATAGACATTGGGCGAACAGTACCTTCACATGAAGTTTCTAACTCTGAATAGCTCACACCACAAGTATTGATTCCTTGCTAAGAAATTGCAAACCCAACGTGATTGAGCAGAAGTTGACGTCCCTAAAGTTCTTAATTAGTTTATCTCTATAAGAGGTTAACAGATAACCATATTACATTCTAATTTAGTGTATTTATAACCATATGACTATTAAAACATAAATAAAAGGATATAATTATATTTATATTAACTTGTTTGACAGACCTTCATTTAATAGATATCTAATCGTAATACCATATAATCCTCTATTTATAACCAGACATTGATATATTATGATATGATTTATTAATGGAGTGCTCGAGCTCACGTGAAACGGCGTCAATAAAACAGTCATTTCGGAAATATTTCCTAAGAGTCATTTTATTTTTTTCATTGACGTAAAACAGTGAATGCTGCTGCACAACCATCGCTCTTGGCATCTCTTTGATAACAGAAGTGGATAACTGCAATTCAACATGAGTTCCCCGTGGTGCGGTATTACCACATTGCCCAGGCTTGGTACATCAGGAGCGACCTGCCGTATATCCGCCTGAACAAATCTGCCATCCACAGAGGCTAGTGTGTGTGAAGACTACCTCTGGTAGGACCGCATAAGCATCGAAAAGTTGTCGAAGTCTTTTTACGCATTCTCGTATAGTGGCAACAGAAAGCTCACTCTTCATCGCTGACACCAACATAGGAGAAGTGAACCTGGCATTTTACAGTCTATAGTTGATAAGCCCCCGTCCGTACTACCTATCCACGATATTCATTATTGCTAGAGTCATAGTAGTTGGAGACTCATTAAGCATCTGCATTAGCTGCACTTCAGACACGCATGGATCCGACAGAATCGCCAAGCCGAGATTCAACTCTTTAGTCTTCATCCATGTCGAGAGGTTCGCCTCTAACACAGTTGGCTCCTCAGTGGTAGCGGCACTTCCTATTTTGGACGCTAGTGATGATGCTACAGCCATTAGTAACGTTGGGGAGGCGAGAACAGCAACCTACTACTACTGCTATGTGGAGGAGGCACCTCTGTACGCTGCTAATCCCATAGATAGTAGATCCTACCATTCCAGCGCTCTAATGCTGCATTGATACAACAGCTCCAGTGGCACTGTCTAGTAAGGCACAAGGAAGGGCGACCAAAAAAAGGCGGACAAATCGAGATGGTAATATTCTCAATAGTGTGGTATAGGATAAATACTGCGGCGAGCCGAGCGGTATCAGACGGGTCACTCAGTTGTTGTTATGATATGTCATCTACGACGTGTAAATTCCCACCCTGGGAGCGCGCAGGAGAGATAGATCAAAAACGCCGAAAGTAACACTCGAGAGCAGCAGCAGCAGCCGGATTCGTTCAAAGATGCAGTCCTTGGATGTTCCCTAGCTCGTTTTGACAGGTGTCAGGCCGGAAATTAATGACGGAAAAGTACCCTTGCCGCGGTTCGAACCGGGATCAATCCTGCAATCGATGCGTGAAGAATTCAGCGACAGTGAAGATACTCGAATGAGGCTTCAGCGCGCTACTAATTACAAACTCTGGGGAGAGCACTGGATGATGTGTGACACGGCTCTACTGCCACGTCATCACCTTCCATTGCCAAAATTGACAGTGAAGCTTAGGGAACCGTAGTAGTCAGCTGGGAACACTTTTTCAAAGTGAGTCCAGCACCCACCCGAACAGCCAACTCGGAATATGCTACTGCCGTACTCAGAATTTGTACTCTGAATGGGTTTTCGAAAGCTCAGAATACAAGCAGCTCGGATAACATTCGCACTTGAACAAATTCTTTTTCATCGATCTCAGACTCGAAAAAGTGAGCAATTGAACGGGCTCCAGAGCATCTTGTGTCACAATAGAGTTCGCTAGGGAGATAGCAAGATGGTATCATATCTGGCACAAGCAGTCAGCGAAGCGGCCATTGATGATATTATTTTGCCTGGTATCTAGCCATAATGGCTTTATGCTAGCGCTAGGCATAGGCCCCTTCATTGGAGATAGTTTAAGTGCTTTAGTGCTTTCTTTACGTCTTAAAAAATGGTAGAGCAACGACTTAACGATTCGGTTCGTGCTAAGCCACCATATAGAATATCGAGGCGCGGCAAGAAGGCTGCTGCCACTGAGTTCACCGTGTATGCTGCGGCTTTCGCAGATGCTCAAAAGGATCTTTACGATAAGGGTAGGTGGTATTGTTTTATATCTTCACCGTGTTATGGTATGTGGATGTCAGATAAGAACCCTAAGGGATTCATCCCAATGTGCATGGCAGAGAATAGGACTATGGGAGGTGATGTGGAGAAAAAATTCAGGAAAGTACGCCAGACTGTTCTCGATCGTCGATGCTTATTGAGTATATCAAGTTGCATTGTGTCTGGTCTGTTCGTGTGTCGGGAATCTTCGTGTGTGCAGTTGATGGTTTTTCTTCTGTTGCTTGCTTGTGTTTTTTTGTTTTGACCGGTTTTCTTGTAGACTCTCGCGGAGCTCGCCGCAGATCCTGCTTTCCCAAGGCATCAACTGTGTGACTATGGTGATTCGTCTGGTATGCACAACTTTAAACACGCCGTTTCTCGGGCTGTCTCCACTCACCTGGCATCTCCTGAAGTAGCTGTCAAAGCTCTGGAGAAGGTTACCGACCAGTACGTTATGAGTGAACAGAAAATGCAAGCTGAAGACATCTTATGTATCACCAACGGGTGAGCAGGGGCATGTTGTCAAACTGAGCCTGTTAACTGTTATTTCTTCAGGTGTGGTTCTGCCATGAATATGGTCTCTTTCTGTCTGGGTGATGGTGACGGCAAAGATTGTTTCATCACCACTTATCCTGCTTATCCTGTCTTCGCTACTGATTGTGGGCTGGAAGCTAACATTCCAGTGAAGTTTGTTGTGAAAACAACTGAAGAAGACGGTTTCCGGATCAACCTGTAAGCAATCCTATTATCATTTAAAATGTTCTCGAGAGTATATTTACAATTCTCAGGAAAACTCTCGATAGTGCCTACAAGCAATGTGTAAGTGAAGGTTATCGTCCCCGTGCCCTTATCACGACTGATCCCGGCAACCCGATGGGAAGTGTTGCCAGTGTTGAGGAGCTCCGTGCTTTACGAAATTGGTGCGGTCTGAATGGATTATGGTGGATCTCTGATGAGATTTATGGCTGCAGTGTACATAATGATTGCAATCGCCCTCATATTTCGGCCTTGAGTCTACCACTTCTTGAAGGGGACATCGATCCTCCGACACTGGTGCTCTGGGGCTTCAGCAAGGACATGGCACTCTCGGGCATGCGTGTTGGCTTCATTATGAATGTCCCACGGCAGAGGAATTGGGAACTTATCGAGGCTATCCGACATGCTGCTACCAAGCAGTATGGTATATTCTCAATGGTCAGCCCTGTTGCCCAGGAGGTGTGCACTAGGATGCTCTCTGACGATGAATGGTTGCCGAGATTTCTTCAGATCTCCAGAGATCATCTAACGGCATGTAAGCGTATATTGTGTGATGGATTGGCTAAGTTGAACATACCTTATTTCGAGCCTCATGCCGGTCTCTTCCTATGGTGTGATCTCACAGAGTTCCTTAAATCGGACGACTCTGATGGGTTGGGTCTCTTCAACACCCTAAAGTCAGATCCGTATAAGATGGTCATATCTCCGGGTAGTTGCTTCTTCGCTGACAAGCCTGGTATGATGAGACTATGTTATGCTTGGATGACTGATGGTCAGGAGGCTTGTAGGGAAGTTATCAGGCGACTGAGCCATCTAGCTCAGGAGAGTCGGAAGGGAGAATTTTAATGTTTCTCAACTGTTTCGGACTTTATGAGTTTTTATATAAACGACCGGAAGCAGCGTTCAGCTCTATTTGGTGTGTTCTCAAAAGATATTTGGTTTGCAATTTCATTGATTTCTAATCTCTTATCGTTTCTTACTACGTAATGTAATGTACGATGCTATCGAACTTCAATTGTGCTTGTTGAGGCTCTTTTTTCATTAGAGCACTTGAAGTGGCATTAGTCAACCTCTTCAGTGATAGTTGTTCAGACTACTCATAGCAATAGAGCAATAGCTTGTAAAGATAATCAGCGTCTCTAATATGATTTCCCGCGTTTTGTTGTTAGTTACATTGGATCTTCGTGGTGAGGTTTGACATAGTCGAAAGCAAAAATGGCGCCTTCACGCATGAAAAAGAGTGAGTTAAGTACTAATTTGCGATCCTCCAAGTTGATCAGATTTCGTGATCTTGTAATTATGGAATTGCCTGATTTCTATCTTTGTAGGTTGTTGATTGTGCTATGTTGGTGGTGAGGGAAGTCTCTTCATGGATAGTTGTAGACAATGTGTCTCCTTCGACCTTTCCTCGGACTACGGTCTTTGTAAGGTCTCCCCATTTGTATGAATATATCTTTATGGGGCAGCTATGCCATCGATTTTCCTTCAAATTTAGCGAGCATTGTAGTATTGTAATCATGGAACTGTCTATTTCCTACCTTTGCAGGTTGTTGATTATGTTCTGTTGGTGGTAAGGGAAGTCTCTTCATGGATTGTTGTAGACAATGCGTCCCCTTTGTTCGACTCGTCCTCGGACTACGGTCTTTGTAAGGTCTCCCTTTGTCTGAATATCTCTTTATGGGGCAGCTATGCCATCGATTTTCTCTCACGTTTAGTAGGTTTTGAAATATTGTAGACAATGTGTATCCTTCCTTCGACTCGTCCTCGGACTACGGTCTTTGTAAGGTCTCCCATTTGTCTGAATATCTCTTTATGGGGCAGCTATGCCATCGACTTTCCTTCAAGTTCAGCAGGTATTGAAGTATTGTAGACAATGTGTATCCTTCCGTCGACTCGTTCTTGGACTGTGGCCTTTGCAAGGTCTCCCGTTTGTATAGAGATCTCTTGATGGGGCGGCTATGCCATCGTGGGATACGCCTCGAGGCTTGGTGCCATCGATTTGTCTGGGGTGGGTTATGCTACCCGAAGGTCTAGGATTATCAATTCCTCTGAAGGGGGTAACTATGCCACTGGTAGGATGCCAGCCAAGGATATGCACTAACGCTATCAGCTTATCCTTGTGGAGCAACTATGCCAGTCCAAGGTATGGACTATGGCAATCAGCTGAAGATATATGTTAGTACAATCAGCTTATTTTGGTGGGGCAACTATGCCACCTTGGGATATTTTTTAGTTTTTTCGGATGGGGCAACTATGCCGGCTAAAATATATATTCAGCTTCTTGGGGTTGGCAACTATGCCAGCTGAAGATGGTGGGGAGTACAGTCAGTTTTCTCGGGTGGGGCAGGTATGCCAACTCAAGCTACACACTACTGAAATATCTTTGAGATAGGATGACGATTATCGTGGATTATGTTGAAGTTACTTCAATTTCTGTAGAGTGCGGCAATCAATTACGCCTGAGGGGCAGATATGCCACTGGCTCAAGTCTCGATTGCGACGGATTATGGTGTTGAAAGAAACTGTAGCGTACATTTGATGGCAGACTACCACTGGAGTTGAAGTTGTGGGAGAGAAGTTGTGGCATCTAGTCCCGACGACTGGGCAGCAGACTCAGCCTTCCGGGTGGCGGGACATACGATAATACCGCCGTATTCGAGTGGTGAAATATCGTATCCCAAACGACCAAACGAACTGAAATGAAAACTTGTCTGGGATGGTGAAAGGGCATGCAACAGTAAGTGTAATTGTGAACTCAGACACTTAGGTTCCTAGCCAATCTTGGTAAAACTGACAACGCAAAACGGTGCGGTTAATGAAAACGAACAGATACAATAATCCGTTACTTCGACAGGCTAATCGACTTAACCGGAGCTCATGCAGGGCAGTCTGTGTATGTCGTATAGTTACTAAGTTAGGTGTTCTCTGCCACGAACAGGCAGATGTTGGTATAACAACAATGGTGTGGCCATATGATTAATTTGACTGTGAGCGCCAGTTTCAACTGCTTCTTTTTGTATGACTGGGAGTAGATATTTTCGTGCAGTTGAATAGGAATGTGTGATAATTACGTGTGATGGCTTGCGTAGTTCTTACACCGTTCGCATTCAGCCTGAAGACTTTAGGCTGGAGTGTGTAAAAATGACCCATTTCACATTGCGTGGTGCGTCATGCGTACTACGCTAGTGCACAACCGGGGTGCATCTCCAGTGATAACCTTGGATTCTCAGGAATTGTGACATAATTCAATCTTTATTGCCATTGTTGACTGCGCATTCTCGATCTTGCATGCTGATATGTCGGACTTTCACGGGAGAAGGTATAGTGCGACTTGCGTTATCAGTCTCTCGTGTTGAAGGGTTGGTACTACCGAGCATCTATTGAGAGCTTCCTTGAACTTCATGTGTTGTCCAATACATTTCAAGGCATTGTATGTCCTAGTACAGCGCTCCACATCTCTTGGACTCTAGTCGACTCAGATGGGAATGAACAGTGTTGCAGTATCCCTAGGCAAACCCATCTGATTCATCTCATTCATTGATAGTAGCTCCGCTGAGGATTCTCAAACTTTATGACTACTACGAACTCCGCATCGACGGGCCCAAATGTGTCCAAAAGATGTATACAGACGGCGAATGAACCATTGACAAGCTATTTCGAGGCATTTATGGACTCTAAATCGGATCTATTCGACCAAGGCGAGCAGCGTACCTTCGATATATCGTGCAGCCACGAACCACAGATACTAATCCTAATGGTTACCTTACGATGTGCGTGGCTGAGAATAGCTCCATGGAGGAGATGTTGAAGGCTAGATTCAAAGAGGTATCGATCGCTCTTCTCGATAAGCCCCCTCTGTCAGCTCTTCCCCAGTTTCGAGGGGGTCATTATTATCCATCCCTCTTACTGTCGAGAACTGTTCCTGTCAGATTCTGGCAGACATGTCCTCCAGCGAGTCGTTCCCCTCCAAAGAGCTATTCATGTACGGAGACATGTCAGGGATGAATACTTTGAAAACCGCTGTTGCTGAGGCAAGCTGACCGTTACGTATACAGATTCCCCCTGTCTACTGTTATTGATTCTCTCTCTTTGAATGGACGAAAGACTACGTAATCTTCTCCTATAATTCTCAACTCAGGCAGTCGACCATTTTCTTGCTCCTCCAGTGGACGGTATGGTGGGAGTCGGTGTCACAGCTGACGATGCTATAGCTATCACTAATGGGTAACAGCCTTCATTCCTTCACAGATCGATAGTTGTTCTCTCCCGTGGGATAGGTGTGGGCCTGCTATGAATCTTATATCATTCTGCCTGGGCGACGGCGACGGGACGGACTGTTTTCTCACTACCAAGCCTCTCTATCCAGTGTTCCTCTTAGACTGTGAAAAGGAAGCCGGGGTGAACTCATTTTCTGTCCTACTCACATCCTTTAGATTTCCCCGTCGTGTAGGTGCGTGTCGTTCCGTCGGTAAAGACTTCCATGGAGACCAGTTTTGAGATCACGAGGTTGGCCATAAGCTCTCCTTGAATTCTCGACAACTCCCCCTGTTTTCAATGTGGGCGTTGTAATCTCAGGTCAGCCCTTGAGCAAGGCTACGAGTCTTCTGTAGCTGAGGGGTTGAAACCCAAGGCCTTATTGACTGTAAACCCGGGCAATCCGAGCGGCCGAGTAGCCACAGCTGATGAGCTTAGAACGATAAGGAATTGGTGTGGCGAGAAGGGCATATGGTGGATGTAGACCAGCAATGATCACTCTATCGATGAGAGCTCTTTGCCATCAGATCTGATGAAATTTACGGATGCGCAGTCCATGATGATAGCGAAAGACCCCACATATCTGCGTTGAATCTGGTCAGTCCCTTCTCATGATAATGTCTCGCACTGTATGGCCATCCTCAGCCACTCCTCCCGGGCGATCTCGATCCTCCAACCCTCGTGCTTTGGGGCCTTAGCAAGGACCTCGGTATGTTTGTGGTATTGATGCTTTCCGAGAGCTCCCCTTTCCTTGTGTAGGTTTGTCGGGGATGCGAGTGGGTTTCTGTTTGGGCCTTCCTCGTCAACGTCATGATCCCTCCGTGGTGACGCTGAAGAAAGCTGCACAGTCCAGCTATAATATGTTCGCTGCTGTTAGCCCATTGACGCAGGTACTTGCTAGCTCTAGCATTATAGTCGTACTTCCCTACTTTTCAGTGGTTCACCGAGAAACTGCTTGGTGACCAGCACTGGATGACAGCATACTTGTCGGAATATCGCAAGGTTTTGACGGAGTGCAAAAAGCTAATCTGTCAAGGCCTCGAAGGATTAGGAATTCCCTTTTACCAACCCGACGGCAGCATCTTCATCTGGGCCGACTTCTCAGAGTTTCTGACTCCAGATGATTCTCGTGGAGATTCCAACGCGTTATTCGATAAGCTCTGTGACGAGCCGTATAAGATCATACCTTCTCCCGGTGATAGCTTTTTCGGCCCTCCGGGGGGCATGCGGTTCTGCTATATGTGGATGGCAAAACCTCAGCAGGCCTGTCAGGAGCTTGTCCGTCGGCTGTCTGTGTTCGTTGCGTGCAATCGTCGCAAGTAAGGATAATTCTTTGCTATCCTACTGTTTTGTTGTCTCGTTTGAAACACTCAAGCTGACTCACTGTTGTTCTCTGAGAGAAGCCCCCTTTGTGTTCCGTAGAGGAATCTAATGTCATGGATTCGTTTTAACCACTCAAGTGTTGGGTTTGCAGTACGCGATATGCTATCATTGCGACCACTTTCAGACCTGTTCTGTATCTTTACCGCATGACCCTCCAGATCCGCTCCATTATTGGACTTATAGATTATTCCTTATTGGCTCTCCTACTTATAGCGACTTTTGCGGGAATTGATTATGCGATATCGGGGGTGCTTCTTGGCGTAAGTCTGGGAGTGCTTCACCGAATGTTCGTTGAATCACATGTGGATGAGGATGAGCCTCTAGTGACAGAGACTCTCAAAGTAGGAGTCGGAATTCCTAAGCGGAGAACGAGAAAAGCTGTTAGTTTGAAATCGACATATGCAGGGATCGAACCTGCGGTCTCGAACAGACGCGATGCACCAGTGCTGATAGACCGCTCGGTTGGGACGGAGGACTTACCATGTCACGACTGTGTCGTGCCCGCAACTGATAAGCGATTGAGTCGAGCAGCTCGTCGACGGCTACGTAGGCGTGCCAAGAGGGAGAGTACGTCTCCGCTCGAACATCCCATCGAAGGGGAGCCGGACTGGACACCTGTTGAGGAGAACTGGTTGAAGCACGATGAGTGTCTTGTGCCCACTTCGAGCACCGAGCTGTCTGATGATGGCAAATGTCCTGCTGTCGTAGATGAGCGATTTAGGGATGTCATTGAGGATGAAGTTGGCACCATCGAGGTCATTCAGGAGGTGTCGCAAGGCCCGCCAACTCCCAAGGGGTCAGTTGATCCAAAAGTGCTCAGTGACATGTCTACTTCTCCTGTAGGTACATTGAAGTCGCCTCGCGAGTGTCATCAACCTCAGCATCGTATAACACTGGTCGAAGGCGCGTGCTCGGACCTTTTGTAGAGTCTCCTCCGTACTTACCACCCGAGTAAGAGTTGTCCAAAGGGTGAAGATCAGAAAGTCTCAGGTATCATTATGGAGACTACTATCAACAGTATCCAGAGTACCTGCTTCCGTGGAGCCCACCGGTCGTGATGCAAGTCGTCCCGCTGGCTCCACAAGGACTGAACACCTCATCCCAGTTCGAGTCGGGTACCGGGGTTAGATGGCTCGGAAGCGGCGAATTGAAAATAGAGATGGCTGGAGCGTGGGCAGGGACCGAGGGGAAGTGGAGATTCATAGCTATCAGTAGGAGGATCTCAGCTGCGGTGGTCATGGACCATTTTCTCGACGTAGATCGCTGGTTGGAGTGGCTCGACGCTTCCTATCTGGACACGTGGCCTTGGGGGTCCCCTCCTTTAGTACTGGACATGGACCTCTCGAGGAACGATCTCACGGATGAGGAATTTAAATGGATACTGCTACATCTCGACAGGGGCCCCGCGAATGTTCAGTGAGATCTACTTTCGATTGGTATCTGTCACTCGGACCACTTCAGACGACTGCGGGCTTCCTTCAATCAACTCACGGAGAAATGCGTCGATGCTTTGGTGGGGATGTTGGACATTGGCAACGAGCAAAGAGTTGCTGAACTTCATCTCAACGGTAACTCCCTCGGCAACAGAGGAGTCTCAGCTGTCCTCACGGCCGTTGCCACGAGCTCACGACACCAACACGGGTGTGCTTCCAGTCTGCGGCTCCCAACGTTGGGCATTCCTGGTTACCTTAGGTCGGCTGTTGCCCACGAGCTACCGCCACTGTGGCTGCGTGTTGATGACAATTCTACTGACTGTGAGGCCGAGCTCGTATCGTCGATATTCCAACCTGGGTGAGTATTGCCGTCCTAGCGGTATGTGGAAGTCAACTTTTAGGGAGTACTGTATGGCTACCCTTCCTGCATCTTGCACTCCCGATATCTGTGGCAATGGTGCACTCGTTCACCTCTTTAACTTTGGCAGACAGGAGTTGCCTACAGGCAGCTAAGCATGATGACAAGTACATATTTAATCGTCTCGAAATAGACTATCTTTGCTCCTCATTGGAGCTTCTAATTCTTTCGTAGTAGTGCATGCTTTCGTCTTCATAAAGACTACTATTCGAATCGGGGCTAGTGGCCAACAGATGGTCTCGGGTCAAATTCGATGTGCTTGGCCTCGTTCCTCGGGTTCGTTCGTCCCACGTTGGGATTTCTCTCATGTGTTATTAGTAAATCGTGTTACTCTACCATGTCATCAATAGGCCTTTCCTGAGGTCCCCATGCTTGGTTCCACTGGGAGTCCTAGCTGTTGAGTTTTCATGCAGTGGGAGTGGGAAGAGGCCCACTCCGAGTCGTGTGCTCTCTTGAGTTTCGACTCTAAATCGATAAAAGGGCCCAACAGTGACGTTTATTTCCTCAATAAGAGCTAGGGGTGTTCTCGCTGGCACAAGCTCGGTCGCCTTCTAGTAACGGACGGAGGATACATGCCTGATGTGACTCACAATAGGTCTATGATTAATTGTGTGCATGTGAGTGTAAAGTCCAACGCCTACGACAACGCGGCTTAGTTAGACTTGCATCGATGCACATTAGCTCCCGAGGGATCAGCTTTAGCCTTTTGAATTGTCTGCTTTCGTCATGCCAATGAGTTTTGTCCACAGGGCGAGATAACCCCTGCCAATGTACTACCTCTCCTATCGGCAGGATCCGCTTACACGAATTGTGTCGCGAACAACTCGTGACATATTAAAAGTAGTTTCTGACTGGGTTTCCTGACCACCACATTATGGTATGCTGCACCTCGGTAACTGCGACATGCATTTGGTTGCCGCTTGGTCATGTGATTGTCTCTATTGGACTTTTAAATGAACTCAAGATGGCTAGGGGGACCCAAATAACACATACAGATAGAACATGCACATCTTGATGATTGGAATGAATGTCACAACACAGCATTTTAGCTCTCACTGCTAGTATTTGAATAACACACTACGACAGAAGTGCTTGAGGAAAACGGCTGGTCTATGCTCGAGCGAGATGATCTGTGAGCTTTCCAGATTCACCGTGTACTCCATTATATGGCAGCGCAAGAGGTACTCAAGGCGAGCAAAGACCGTTATGCATGCGTCTTCACTGTTGTAGTCAACCCTCAAGTATTCGGGACTGGCCTCAGGGACCGGTGGGGCTATCGCTGACTTACGACTACGACTTTTCTCCATCATTTTTCTCAGCTTCGAAGAACTCGAGAGAAAACTCTGGAATGGACCAACCTTTTCCAGAGACGCTTTTGCATTTCTGATTCCTTTATTGGCTGTATCGGCTTGACCGCCGGCAAGCAACGGGTTTGCCTTCGAGAGCTTCTTCTTTCGACCCTTACCGAACACACCCTTGAGACTTATTCCTCCATCCACGTCGTCAAACTGCATCGAAGTATTTGACTCCAGACTGGCATTCATGAATTCTTTATCAATCGTTTCACTGTCGGAGTCAGTGACGGGTGAGCCCTCGGTCGAAGACCCGCCTATACTCAGCAAATTATCATCAGATTTGGACTCGCGTACATTCGACAAACTGCCATCAGATTTGGAAACTCGGTTCGACCCTGTGAGGCTACCAATGGGAGCATCCAATTCATCAGCACTTTTAGACCGGAAGCGTCCATCCCACCAGGAGTCGTCGGTGGCTTTAGCACGGGGTCTTTGAATGTTGAAGCGCCGGACAGGGCCGATAGCGAGGTTACTCGGATCAAGGATCATGCATCTGGGGATGGAATATGCTCGGTCTTCATAATGTAGCAGCAACGATTCAGGGCATCGACTAAAGACGATTGGCATGCCTGGTTCGGACTACTAGGAATGATATTGGACTCACTAGACTTCGGAATCCTCAACTCCTTGTCTCATAGGACACGACGAAAATTCCAAGCTCACGAACCCATTATGGTCAATGCGAACTCGAATTTGATCGAGATTATGCTCCTCAGGTCGAAGGATACATAGCTTGTCATACTTTCCAACGACAGTTGTGATATCTTCCTGATACAACGAGAAGAATCATTGAGGACGAGAACCTATCACGAACCTTGGTAAAAGGCTCCCCTCGATGACATGTGTCGCTCTCTCCTGTTGGCGTACCTAACACAGGTGTGAGTTGCATCGATGGGATGAGTGACTTTACCTCGCTGACTCGCTGTCACGAGACGGACTAATATGGGCCCCAACGCTGTTAGCCTCATGATTCTGGAAGAGAATATGCTACGAGAAGTTTGCGTAATTCAACTGCGAACACGAGAGTAACGACTTGGGCGGTTTTCTCTGAGTCACGAGACGAGGTTCCCGACGTTTTTTGTGCAAGTCAGGACGATTATTGTCAGTGACAGTCTAGACAGTTTTCGGACCACGAGAATTGACTGCTTGAACGACTTTAGAGACCGGAAGTTGAGTAGTGAGAGTGGTGAATAAATGGTGGTGTAGAAGGCCCTAGAGAATGATGAGACAAAGCACGAGCGTTCGATCGGTTATCTGCACTCATTCCCGACGACTACATTTTAATACAATGCAAGCTAGACTCATGCAATTATCCTTGAATTGAGTAGACGGATGATAGACAAATTCGATTGAGTACAGTATGTTCCCGAAACTCCAGGGAACAACCTATAAAACTGATCTAACTTAGCAG